GAACAGGGGCACTGTTGAAACATCGCAAAAAGGGTCAAAAACTTTGTATATGACGAGAATGAACGCGCAGTCGAGAAAAATGATTCGGAGACTCTTCATTCAGTACATGAACAACACTGTGTCTTCGTAATTAAAGCGCACTTCTGACAACGTTCAGTTATGGCAGAAGTGATCGCCGTATTCGTGATTCGATGCCCGCTGAGGATAAATGTTTCTCTCTTCATGCGTCTCACGTATTGTGCTAAGAGTGAACTCCGTGTATTTATGACCTCGTGTGTGCATTCTAATTAAATATAGATTAATATTCTTTATTCTTTGTTCAAAGTATACCTGCAGCGCCCGAAGGCGTTATAGTAGGGGGGTTACAGATTCGAAAGAAACAAATTTTCATTTACAGCAGACACTTGTACACTTGTGAGCCCATTCCACTCATGTATTGTTCTGACAAAAAAAAAGAATTTGATAAAATTTCAGTCCTGGGACGGTACTCCCTCAGTTTAAAAGGATGATCAATTCGATTTGACAAATAATACGGCGTCTGTAAAAACATATCCTTATTGATTCCAGTTTTATTATTAACTATTAGATATAAGAGTTTTAATCGCAATTTTCTTCTACGCGATGAAAGCAGCTCCCAATTCAATTCTTGTTTCATAGCAGTAGAGCTTTCCCGCCATTGATACCGTCCCAGGACAAACCTTGCCGCCCTGTTCTGTATTTTTTCTATCTTATCACAAAGATATACCTGCGCCGGATCCCACACAGCGCAAGCGTGTGGGATCCGGCGCAGGTATATCTCTAAATATGTGTTTCCTCGTCTTCTTCCTTTCTTTCCTCTTACCTTTATTTACTCAATTTTTTTCATCCTTCAACGCCAAGCAGGAGTTTTGTCAAGGCGGTTATGCGGGCTAGTTGGTTTCGGTTCCTTGTATTCATATTTGTAGCGCGAAAAGGAAAAAATACGGAGACACAGAAGGAACACATGAGCACGGTGGGTGCAGTAGGTTTGCCCATGTTTGCGGTGTACTTTATCTATATGCCCTTTGTATCCTTATATGAATGAGTATACTCCTTTTTTGTTCGTCACATCTCGTATCAACTAAATACATTACTTACTAGACTGTCACTGTGTCATCATTAGTCATTTTATAGGTTGTTATGACAGCAGTAATCTAATAGAGTGGCACGCAGGTTTTAAATATTTCAAGAATGTTTGTTGTTTACGGGATGCAATTCAGGTCAGAAGTGTTCAAAGCTGCGGCACCATACCTATTTCTATTCAATTTTCAAAACCCGAGTATTCGGCTCTTGATGAGGCATGATTTGTATGTTTCATTAGGTCCAATGTCAATCGAATGGCCGGGTGTATTTCTGAACATGGCTTATCACAGGTCAAGTATACTTCAAACGAATATGGAGAATAGACTATTCACGGAATACCCAAGTATACGTTTGCACCTATATACATGATGCTCGTTGGCCAGACACACGGGCACATGTTGCCTTCAGAATTTTTCTCAGACACTTGTGTTTTCCACCATCTCTTTAGCCCATGCACAGCAGAAAAGGCGTAAATCACTGCGCGAAGCTCATAAATACGTTCCCCTACCACAAATGTTCTACTTGTTTTCATTATTTTCGGCATGACTGACTGTAAGGCACTTCGCTTAGCGCAGCACATAGTGATTGCTTTGACACCCTTCTTGAAACATCAGTTATGACGTCAGCCATTTAGCGCTGAGCGATCGCAACATGTCTGTACGTTTTGCTGTCATGACGTAGCAAAACCGCCCTGTATGCCCTGTGTTACGTATGCTGAACTGTGAAATGCTCAAATCATTTGGTTGGTAACATAAATTACGCTATGTCACTATTGGTCCTATCATTCCCGGTTTAAGTGAATAAAGGCTAAACAATAACATCGCAACTTCAAACCGCGATATTCTTCAATTTGTGGCATACACATGTTTGACTCAAAATGTTTGTTATGTATTCGGTTTAAATAAAGTTAATCGACACGTCCTCCGTGTAACAGTTTTTCTAATGTCTTTTCCTCTGAAGTTCACAAGTGGTTCTTCTATATATTTTTGGAAAGACCTTCGCAGTAGCTGAAAAATCACTCGTAGTTTGTTGAGACTTTTTTTATTATGAAGAATACATCATATTTAGACCTGTTATATGCTTGCGCAAAGATAAAAGCAGATTTTTTATCATTATTTTGATTCAATAGCAAAATGAGGCGTGGATGATTGCGTGATGGTTCTTGCGACCGTGGTAATTTTTCATCCCTTCCCTCAACACGTGACAACATAATCCTTAAGGTTTTACATACCAAAATCATATCATCATGAAGGACGCCATGACAGGGCTCAGGAAACTTTCAACATTGGCTGTTCTTTAACGCGCACCTAAGTATAGGAGCAGCCACCAACAGCGCTAATAAATAAGTTTCTACATGCTAACATGTACAGGAAAACATAAATGAGCGAAAATTTACGCAGGCAATGAAATCAATAAAGCATATGCGTGTCCGACAAATGAAGCAAACTGTAGAGGACAAAAACAAAACTAATGTAAGACATGTAAAATACCTGAAGAAACTATAAATTTGAATACAAGGTTTCAACAATCAAAAGACAACAACATCAATAAGGAATGTGTTTGACCGATAGATGAAACACAGTTTGGATAACATAACCAAACGTTAATGTGATTTACACAAGAAAATACTTCAGGGAATATGAAACAAAGATGTGTAACGCTATACCGTATGTCCACACAATTAACTCCCTTCACCTCAGGTGTTGGAGCGGTGCCAAGTAGATCAAGTCACAACTGCGCGTAAACGTCACTCTCTCCCTCAGCCACAGCAGCTGCCGGCTCCTCCACCCACTTGCAACAAACTTCTCTCTTGCTTCTCCCTTTCTATCACCCGAAACGCGCGAGTGCACGTCGAGTGCAAACGACAGATTTAGTTGCGCCTCCACAGCAGTCGTATGAACGTTTCCTGTCATTGCAAATTGGCTAGTAGGCTTCGTTCCTACAGCTGCTATGGACGCGTGACTATATCTGCCTACTCTTTCGGCTCATTTTTCTGTGACGAAATTTGCACGAAACCCAACCCACCTCCCGTGTGTTTGCGTTTCAAACAAACGTTTACTCGAGTAAACGCTACACCGAGATTCGCTTCAAACCGTTTCTCCAGAACTCACGTAGACGTCCGTTTCAACCGGGTCAACGCTGTGCGCACCACTGCTGCTTCGCATCCCATCAGGGTTCTCTTCAAGGAGATGATCCATAATTTCTCTTATATGTTTACAGATCTCTCTGCATATCAGTGTCTGCACATACAGCTCCATTAGGTGTGCTAGCCGTCTCATATGTAACTCGTATACGCAGGCTACCGAGGTATCTATAATACACACAAAAATGTCATGAAAGGCGAAATTTCGTGGATATTTCACCCTAATTAGACCTAGTACCCCTATAAAGAAAGAAAGAAGGCGTAACACAAGTTAAAAAAAAGGTTGAACAGTTGTTGTTAAAGCGTTCAGTTGTCTTCTACCACACCCGAAGTACGCTACCGAGATCCTATCTCATGGTTTCTCACCAGTGAAAGGTTTAAAACGAGGTTTAAAACTGCAGCTTGCGAAAAATCTACAAGAACTTTCACGGCATATTGACGGAGCGAATGATAAGTGGGGCGAAGCGTCCATGCGTCCGTTCGTGCGTCCATCTGTCTGTCTGTCTGTCTGTCTGTCTGTCTGTCTGTCTGTCTGTCTGTCTGTCTGTCTGTCTGTCTGTCTGTCTGTCTGTCTGTCTGTCTCTCTGTCCCTGTCTTCCATACGAAAGCCACCAACACCTTCTAGTGATATTTCTAAAAACATGTAGACACAACGCCATCTATTGAGCAGTTCATGAACTAGGGGTGGCTATATACTGCTACTACTATACTAATAGTAGTAGTAGTAGTAGTAGTAGTAGTAGTAGTAGTAGTAGTAGTAGTAGTAGTAGTAGTAGTAGTAGTAGTAGTAGTACTGCTATTACTACAAGTACTACTATATTACTACTACTACTTTACTACTACTAATACTACTACTACTATTGCTGCTGCTACTACTACTACAGAGTAGAGAACAATGCCCACCCTTAGGAGCTTCAACGCTAAAAAAAGCAAGAAACGGTCACTAAGTACTACGTGTATAGGAAAAAAGCTAAATTTTGCTTATAAGCATGCTTTTTAACACAGGTGCAACGACTATAGTCGTTGCACCTGTGTTAACCAAGTTCTGGCTATTTCATGGACGATACTGCTTAGAGTATGGTTCAGTTTAAGACAAACGTGTGCTTCTTGACAGATTGGGGCTGGTACACGATGAGACTGTCGTTCATTGGCCACTCGGAACAGGGCCTCTGAATGCAGCGAAGAGGTGCTTCAGCATTGAAGTGTAGTTTAGCTTCTTCTAGTTGTCCGGCTACAATACTATATGTAAAAGAAACACCCTGTAATAGTGCTCGTGTGTAACATGGCATCCTATGATGTTTGCTTTCTTTGACATTTTTTTCGTTGCTTTTTTTACGAGTAAAACATGCAACATTTCACTCGTCAGTGTTTCCCTTGTGCATCAAAACTTGTGCTTTTCGCATACCCAGTGTTGTAAACGTTGTATAATCATTTGTAATACTTTGGTAGCCGTTTAGCAACGTGTGCATTGTTTCATGATTGACCGTACGCTGTTTTCTTTTGTTATTTGCTGTTTTTCTCTCTTTGTGGTTTGCTTATTTTATGTAAACCTGAAACTGATTTTGATGCATTTTCTTTTTATTTCCTAATTTCTTGAAGTTTTGAAAATCGACGTCAAATTGTTTTTTCATGTTGGTGCTCTGCGGAGTTTTGTAATGCCAAGTGAAAAGGGGTAGGAGCCTCGTCAAGCTGCTAACGTAGCAGCTTTTTGCTCTTTTCTTTGCGTTTTCTTTTCGCAAATCTGTGAAGAAAATGCTCAATAAAGCTGAAACTGAAACTGAAGGAGCCAGTGACTGATGTACATGGCTGAAGGATAACGACCTAAAAATTGACGAGTTAATGAAATTTGGACAGTCAGAGCTGGAAAGGTGCAGAAACGTGTTTAATTACCACCGTAGTGCTAATACAACTGCATGTCATGTGCTAGTTGGTCATACCTGCAAATGCCAACATTTAGACGTAAAGGAGACGGCAACAGGAACACCGTCCTGGCACACGTCTTGTCTACAGTATTCCTTCTCTTCACTCCCTTTGCGCCTAGATGTTTGCATAAGCTGAAGACAAAGGGTTGGTATATACATGATCTGGTCCATACGCTCACGTCACAGCGTATTATCTGCAGGAATATTCTTTTAAGTACACTCGCACACGCTTTAATAGCAACTCGCTTACAGCTGTGGCTCGCCACCGCTCATCTTGCTGTGTCACTTTACGTCCGGCAATCACTCGGCCCACCGCTGGTTGTTTTAGCTGCAGCGTAGTCTAGACCATCGACGATCTTCACGACGAGGTTATCACAAGAGGCCCCACACACGAGTGTTCGAGGCCTCCTGCTCACAGGATTTACGGTAACAGACAGCCTGACGTCGGCACGTTGCCTTGACAGCGGCAGAATGTGTTAGGTAAGAGTATATTAGTGTTTGCCGTCCAACGCTGCCAGATACCTACGATCGATGAAGAGCGTGATGATGTTATGCCTGCGAAGAAGGTGGGAAAATGCCTCATCAACAGTCCTATGTCCTTCTCTGTCTCATTTCACGTACTTTGTGCCTTTAGCTCTTTCATCATGTTTGTCAAATGACGTTTATTCGTAATTCACCCTTAAAGGCCCTGTTGGGGCATCATATAAGGGCTGAGCATACGTAAAAAAAGGAGCGTCGAAGCAATGTGTGATTAATTAAATCACTAACGACAACATGTAAAAGCTGTGCCTCACATATATTGCAATGACAACCAAACACCGAAGTAAAGCGTCATAACTTAAGCTACTCAGTGCATAAATAATTAGAAATTATCTACAGTGTTAATAAAATGAAAAAAAACTGGAAGCTGGACAGCGGTTGTCTGTGTAGGAGTACACGTAAAAAGCACTCTCTTGAAAAACATATGTTTGTTTTTCTTTCTTGTAGCTTTACCAGCCCCAACTTTGAAATATTTATAATAAGATGCCTATGATGGCCAATATTGCTCTTAAAAGATCCTTCAGTACCTGATATTTCTAGCAAAATATAAGCAAAGGCTCAATCGAAGTGACAGTAGTCTGGTGCGCGCCTTCACGAGATGGCATAACAGGGTTCAAATAGTCGATGTGTTACGTGCCAAAGACCAGTAGTTTCTCACGCTACACTAAATAAAGATCACCAAAGTGAATCTATATTACTATATAATGCCTTAAAACGATCTAGTCTTGCACTGAAAAGCCACAACACTTCCTATCACTTACATCAACACGTAGAGCGAATATGAAATCAGGGTAGGAAGTAATGACGTGAACACGACACAGTTTCTTACCTTCGCTGCATCGGCTCAGCTCTACTGCGTACAAAGAGCACCATCTGTGCCGACGATTAAAACTCTTGAGCTTTCATAACAACCGGCATTTTGTGTACCGCATCGCTAATATGAACCAACTTCTCTACCATATTATGTACAGAACAGCTTCATGAATACATGGAATATATTTCATACATGAGTGCGATGTCGTGAATACAAAAATTGCGCAGGGCTATTCGGCCGATGAGCGTCCAGCACTTACCTTATCGGCAAGAGCAGCAGTATGATGACAGGAAAGACCATCTGGACGTAGGGCCAGGGTGCAAATCCAAAGAAGCATAGCACTGCAAGTTGCACAGCCTGGCAGACGGTAAAGCAGTGTATTTTTCTCTGTGGGCAGCGTCGAATGTAATGGTTGGGAGGGTATGCCGCCTGTTCCGTGAAAAATAGCGTGACACGCTCGAACATTTGGTTACCTGAAAAACAAACATGAACTCACCCTGTAGAAGACTTCATCAGTAACCCTCAGCTATGGCATTGCTAATGTTACATCTCTAATACACTTCGTAAATTGTGCACAGCAGGAGGCTTACGTACGCTGTCTTGTCGAGGCTACCTGGCCATCCTGAGCCCGAGATTTTTCTACCAACGTGCCGAAAATAAATATACATGTATGTATCTTTCCTTTTTGCTCTGAATGAAAAATTACGTAATGAGGGGGTGGGAGGGGGGGGTAGTACGTGTTTGAACTGCCATGTAATTTCGAGGCATGCTACAGTGAAGCGCTCCAAAAATTTCGACAACTTGGTGTTCTGTAACATCCTCTCACTGACAATTTTTTTTTCAGTTTGCGGGTCATTAGCATTCAGCCTCCTTGGAGATGTGACCGCCGCGTCCTGGATCAAAAACAACGACTGTGAAACTGTTTCGCGGCAGCATGCGGCTCGCGTCATGTCAGCAGCCGAACACCGTAACGATTGTTCTACCACGATGGACAAAAAATATAGCATGACACGCGAAAAGCTAATCTGTTAAGGTCATAGTCAAAATTTTTCAAGAAGTTCTGAAGAAGCTTGTGAGAATGCTAGCCCGCCATTATGGCTGAGTTTTCATGAATGTATCGTGCAATGGTAATGGCATTTCCAAAGTGTTCAAAGGGACTTCCACGCTGGCAAAACTGTCCACAAATATTTATCCAGACGTAATGTGACAAAGCTTTTACAAGCCTATATTTTAATTCGCAGGATTACATGGGACGACCTCCACAAAACAGGGTTGCCTCCGATTTTTCAGTCAACTCTAAAACATCTGTTCTTGCTTCCAATTCGGAATATGACTATAATCTTGACTTAAAGCACGTCGTACGCCAACGGTACTCATAATATATTTCTTTTTCTTATTCACCGCACTTGTTCCAGATTCTGACTTTAGTAGTAAGTTTTCTTGAAATCCTTATTGCCCAATCAACCTAAAATTTTAAAAACAGTTCGTATTTAAACTTGTTCATTCATTTATTCGGAGTCCATCGAAATGAATCACCTACAATTAAACGTGCTTTCCTGAACCCTTTAGGCACAAATTCTCATATTTCTCTCATGAAGCTATTTCTCTCATGAAGCGATCAATATATTTAAGAGGAACTGACTGCTGTCAATCATACACTAACACACTTTTTTTCACTTTCGCTTAAGACTCGAACGACTTGGTACGTAATCTAACCATGTAAGATAGGGTTCGCCAACATGCTGTCAACATGAAACTGCCAACATGCCGCCGACATTAAACATAAAATGAGCCGCATGTGGCCTACGACACTGTTTTATGCGGCCCCCAACACTATACGAGAACGCTTCCTCTCCCTTTCTCTGGTCACTACGTGTCCAAAGGTCCACATGGCAGTTTTGATCACAAACGGGGTTTTCGCATGCAACCTATGTTTGTAAACCACAACCTTGTAACATGCTTCCAGAAAATAAGCATGACGTTTTTTTTTTTCAGTACTGCAGATCGTTCAAATTTTGGCTCCTTGCCTGCGCAGCTCCCCACCCCTCGCCTCTCAATTTGTCATTCGGCCCCAGCTGTGACTGGTTTCATGCAAATGTGTCCCTGTACTTTAAAGGCCCAGCCCCTTGTGTAAGGCATTATCTTCGGAACTTCTGCGCTACGCCACAACCCCTGAAGCAAGAGGGGACATCAAAAATTCCAAAAGAAAAAAAATGGAAAATGATTTTTTTTTCATTCAGTGTTTTTTGTAACACGAACATTTAGGAACCTTTTCAAAGAAGGGAGCAGGGCTCCTTATGTTTTTTTTTTTTTGTCAAATTTACAAAGCTTGAGCGCAACTTTGAATATTCTCCCCTCCCCCCTCAATTATTACCTTTCATTCTGCCTCGACCTTCAGATATCAAATGCCGCTTTACCAGGCCAACATGTGCATCCCACGGAACACACATGCACACACACAACACTGGGCATTTTCATTGCTTCTGCAGCCAGCCTTGAATTTCAATTTCCGGTCTGTTCTAAACGCGCTAACAACACGTACTGCGCACTTCGAGCGAATGCTGGGAGATTCGACGGTTTTTTTTTTCATTTAGTGGTCTCTAGGCTCTTGATGCCTACTGCACTGTCACTCGCATCCGCCTAAGACATCATTGAACCACTCGTCTTTGTGTCCTGCAACCTTAATACATCATTAAGGACTGCCAGCTTGAACTATACTAATTCCACTCTCTCAGAAATGCAACAATGTAAGGCATTTGTATAAATTGTTAAACAAAATCAATTTTGTTTTTTATTTTGCAAGGTCTTTTTTTATTTTGCAATTTTAATTTTTCACTTTTCAAATTTCATTTTTTTTTTCATTTTGCATTTTACCTATACATAGCTTTTCTTACGCTGAGAGATCTGTTACACCACCAACAAAGAAATATGTGCAAACCTATAAGCGACGTCACAGCCATGTACAGGAACAACCCGTCCAGGACAGCGGTGGGAATGTAGGACAGTGGGTACGGGAGCAACAGCAGCGACAGTCCGATGAACAGGCTCGACAGGATGCCGGTAAGACGAGTCTCGCGAGACCGCACGACGACCTCGTGCACGTGGCCCTGGTCGACGCGCTCCTCGAGGTCGGCCAGACAGCGCGCGTGCAGCGGCGAGTGCGGCAGCACGCCGTGCATCCAGGGCAGCCCGAAGACCGAGAGGCCCGCGTTGAGTAAAGCGACCACCAGCAGGTCCAGGTGGTAGGCGCTACCCTTGCGCAGCTTGTTGCTCGGGTTGTTCACCATCGCGGCGGAGATGTTTTGGTCCATGAAGAACAACAGGGACAGCGCGAAGCCCAGGCCCATGGCTCCGAAGATCCCGGCCACCGAAAGAGACTCGAACGGAGCACGTTCCAAGCCGTAGCCTTCGGAGATGCGGAACTGTTCGGCTGGGATTGGGAGTCACAAATGTTTGAGAGATAGGGGAAAAAAAGAGAGATCAACCTTTAAAACGAAACCCCCTGAGATGACACCAACGTTTATGGCCTAGATTGCTACTCGAGGTGTCACTTAAATAAAGTGATATATGCAGCGATCGCATACGTACACAAACAATAGTAAAGTCACATGAAGACATCTATAACAAACATTCACAAAGTTTTCTCAAGTCATGTCGTACTAAAATACCAACAGCACTTTTGCGTCGCACATCGCATGACTGCTATCTTGCCGCGGGCATAGAAGGGGCCTGCGGCTTCAAGCTCAAGTAGTGTTGCAGTTCTTCCGAGCGAATTGAGCATCTCTATGAGGAATCGCCGCGCTGCAATCCTTTGGGGGTGAGCCAAGTCGGCGCAATGTATTTGCTCGAAGGAACCTGTGGCGTGGTCTTAATGCACGTTGATTTCAATGCAGGTGTCCGAGACCCCTCAATGTTGCCTTGTAGGAACTTCACACCCTGAAAGCCGGACAAACTTTACAAGCGAGTCATTGCATCAAGTTCGTTCCTGCAGACGTTGCAGTCCTTTGTTTCTTCTCGGACTAGAGTGCTTGTCATCCCTCTAATCAAAAACCCTGCACTCGCCGGTGGGCACCAACTATTATTGGGCAGTGGTTAAGCGACGGGACGCGCCGACTAGTATTGGTTAACGCAGTTGAAATTACAGCTAGGTTGACGAAAGTATGGCTGCAGGCCGAAGTTGGCTACCCGGCTGTTATTATTACGGTTTCCTTGCCCTCACACCATACACTTCACCACCAGCGCAAATATCACATCGCAACGGTCACTCAATATTTCTTGCAACAAAGTTTGCACTTTCACTTTTCCATCTGCTTTTCTTTTCCTCGTGTAGCTGTGTAAAGGAATGGCCTTCTCTACCACAACCCTGCTATAGGAAAAAGTAGCTGCATTTCTCTCGTCAGGAAATTTTTATGCTTTTTTAATCTCACCCTTTATGCAATACCCTGTTTTGAGCTTGAATGAATGAGTGAATGAATGAATGACTGAATGAATGACAACGGCATAATCAGTATTTATGCTCAATGTATTGATCAAGTTTTTTTTTTTTCAATCTCTTCTTATTGTTTTTTTTCTTTCTCACATTGGCACTTCAGTAGCATGGTCTTCGTGGTTGACAAAAGCGCACTGGTCGACTGGAAGCCACGAAGTGGGTGGTTAACCAGTGTGCACCGTACAGTAGCGCCTATCTGACAAAGAATTACTCTAATCCGATAACATGTAGCTATCTGGAGAACTCACGCTTCTTTTATATCTTACATTAGTGTAGTTTTACAATGAAATTCGCAGGATGTTGAAGATCATATAAAATGCGTCTGGGTAGAGGAGAGTATTGTCTGAGTTCCACCCAAATTTTATTTAAAAACCTGTTCTATACTGTAACACAATCGGCAACGCATACGCGTTCTTGGGAATGCAATAGTCGGGTTTCTCGGGGCGCTTTACTTGCCACTCCTGTGTTACATGCCCGCAATATTTTCCCCCATTCCTCACATTCTTTGGTTTCTGGCACGGCTTTAGAAAAGCCGTGTGGCCACGTCGCAACAAGCTTGCTCTTGGACCCTTGTTTCCCCATTGAGGTTTCATTTTGTAGCAGGCAATGGTGTAAACATTTTGTATTTCTAATACACGCAGATATATCCACCTTGGTCGCTTAGCAGATAAAGTGTCGTGGTGACGCGGGTGACGGGGAACTCGCCCTTCTCCTTGCGGAAAAGTCGTGCGGCACCCCTTTATCTCGGAGGCTTTGGTTCTGGCGATACCAGCCGTTCCTACCACTACCAGACCCCTGCCTAAGCGTGGGACGGCAGCACAGAAAAATTGAAAACGCGGAGCCCCATCTACGGCAACAGCCATTTCCACGGAAGGAGAAGGAGAAAACACGCTTCTGCTTTGATATAGGAGCATGGTGAAGAACACTAAGTAGCAGAAGTTAATCCGGAATCCATTAGACCGGGGCTGCCTCACATTTACCTCGCAGATTCGACTTGTAAAATGCTGGAAATTATAATTACATATGCACTTTATAAAAAGGCAGGAGTATTTTATTTTTTTTTTGTGAGACTCGCTCGATGTATTCCGTGCCGAATGGTTGTGTCTCCGCGAGCTCCGACGACAGCGCCGCTCTGGCCGACCGGCTCACCCTCTGCCATCTCCTGACGCCGTGAATCTCTCGCTGAGTGGTGCCCCGCCTTCGGACTCCTTCGACCGTGTCGATATTTCTCTATCCCCTCTTTACTTCTGCGAGTGGGTGTCCTCATAACTATCTCTATCCCTTTTATTCCCTCCTTGCCCCCATCTCTCGTAAGCCACTGTTTAAGTGTCGCACTATGATGCAGACTGTTACGGTGCTCACTTTTATATTCTTTTCTCTTATGAGAATCACTTACACACACTTTTTGCGAGTCCTTACTAGCAGTGTATAACCCTCTTTTAAGATACGCACAAACGCTTTTGAACATTCATTAGACTCCCGTAAGAGAGTCATGGGATTGAAAAGAGTTAAGGTGTCTTTTTAGAGTGTATATAAGCAGCAAGTCAGAGCTCGCCAAAAGAAGTGCACCCAAAATTCTGCATAAAAAGGCACAGTTAGAAATGCAAACATGGCAGACGTTCGGGGCACTGTTGAACGAGAAATGTAGTTGGAGCCACTGTTCTGACAACTGCACCTTCCTTCTTGAAGGCAGCACTGCCTAGAGGAAGAGGAGTCCATTCGTAGAAATATCGGTTGCAGCAACAATTCGTTTGTGCCAATATTTAACGTAAATTCGTATACAACGTAACCAGTCTAAAGAAGCCTCTCCTAGATGACGGACGCACGGCTGCCGGTGACCTCTGCGACTAAAGAAATAGTCCCACTCAAGAAGTCGGCAATGTTCTCCGCAGGAGCATTCCCCATCCGCCCGTCTGTTGACGCAAGTCTGGAATGCGCACCCATTGTGACAGGCTTGAGTCCATCGTGCCTTAAGGAGAAAGTGCCTCTGGGGAGGACTTCTACATAATTGTTACGTAGTATTCAATGCAATAAAACAGAATCACGAGGAGGGATGACAACGCGTGCACTGAGTTTTGTCCTCCCATATCGTCCTTGCATCACTTTGCTCTAACCACTGCCTATATGTCTTACCAACGAAGCCGAGTTTCTCCCCCTTGCACTTTGTAACTGGTCAGTTGGGTTTAGCTTAAGTTTTCGCAAACAATCGTGTACAAGTCAACGCAAAACTCACTCTTGACGTCCCTGAACATGAAGGAGCCGACGAAGCTGAACACAACCACAGCCACGGGCAGTGCGTAGTCAGACAGCAGGTTGCGCAAGTACGAGTGCAGGTAAGGGGTCTTGTTGAAGTTGTACAGCGTCACACCCAACATGCAAGTGCCCAGTGTGAGCATGAGGAAGAGGAGGCTCGTGTCCCGCTGGCAGCTTGAGGCCTCCACGAGAACCGCGTCGTAGCTGCTGGAGTTATTAACGGCCGCGATGGGATAAACGTGCCCGCCGGTAGCCGAGACAGTGTCGACACAGACTGGCGCGAGGTAGTTATGCAAAAAGTTCTTGTACACGTCACGACCAGCGTCAACGCAGAACGCTATCGTGATGAAGAGGGAGAAGATTTCCTCGGTGGACCTGCAAACCATAGGACACTGGTTGCTTCATTCTGTTACTTTCTATGGGATTAGCACAGGACTAATGCACCAAGCACGTGAAGTAACGGATTGAAATCTAAAGCCTTAATGTTTCCAGTTCATTTATTTTATGCCTCCTCGGCTCCCCAATTCAAGCTTTCTCTTCCTCGCGTCATGTTCCAAAGCACCCAGGATAGGCCCACCTTGGGCCGAGCAACAATGATATTTGATCACGTCATTATTAATGTCAAAGTCGTGTCATGATCACATAAAGCATTTTGCTTACCTGTGACATCTCGAATCGGGTGACCTTATGGGTCATTCATGCTCACTCCGACATCCCTAGCGGTCACTTTTCGCATCTGACGAGTTATCTGCTTCTAAAAAATAAGACGTAAAAGAAGACTACTTCAATTACGCAGACGAACACTAAAGCCTGCAGGCGCTACATAAATAGAATATTTGTGGGGCACATTTTTGAACGTTACTGAATCCTTATATGTCACACTCCTCCTTTCGCATTCTACTGCATCGAGGTTCATTTGTAACAAAAATTAGCAATCACTGACAATGGCCAAACTGAGATGACAAAGCACAGTTTGGAACAATCTACGATGGCACAGTTGCTGCCAGTTGGCATTGCACTTGGAACAACAATTGTGAGACTCCGCAGCGTTTTCGTGAAGTGTCATCATCATCATCATCAGCAGCAGCAGCAGCAGCCTGTCTACGCCCACTGCATGGAAAAAACCTCTCCCATGATCCGCCACTCAACCCGGTCATGTGCTTTCCGTCGCCACGTTATCTCTGCCAACGTTTTAATCTCATTGCCTCACCTAACTTTCTCTCTCCCCTTCGTGCGTTTGCCTTCTGTGGCAATCCAGTCAGTTACACTTGATGACAAGTGGTTATCCTGCGTACGTGCTATGTACCCGGCTCATGTTCATTCCTTCGTCTTGATTTCAATCATGATATCCTTAACCTCGGTTTCTTCCCTGACCCATTCTCCTCTCGTATTGTCTCTTAAGGTTACACTGTGATTTTTCTTTCCATCGTTCGCTGCATCGTCCTCAATTTCAGCTGAACCCTCTTTGCAAGCCTCCATGTTTCTGCTCCGTAAGTAAGCACTGGCAACATGCGGATGTTATATACTATCCTCATGATTTCAGAATGCTTACTGAACGTGATCCACCCCCATCCTTAATCATCTACTTATCTCGCTCTCATGGTTCGACTCCACGATTACTACCTGCCCTAAGTAGACATCTGCCTTTACAACTTTCAGCGTCTGCCCCGCCGCGGTGGTCTAGTGGCTAAGGTACTCGGCTGCTGACCCGCAGGTCGCGGGTTCGAATCCCGGCTGCGGCGGCTGCATTTCCGATGGAGGCGGAAATGTTGTAGGCCCGTGTGCTCAGATTTTGGTGCACGTTAAAGAACCCCAGGTGGTCGAAATTTCCGGAGCCCTCCACTACGGCGTCTCTCATAATCATATGGTGGTTTTGGGACGTTAAACGCAACATATCAATCAATAAACTTTCAGCGTCTCTCCACCTACCCCAAAGTGCAGTCTTCTGCCGATACTGTTGCACATTACTTAAGTTTTGTGCATATTAATTCTAAGACCTACTTTTCTGCTTTCCGCGACTAGTTCTGCAATCATGAGCTGCAATACGTTCTCAGAGTTACTCGTCAAGGCAATGTCATCAGCGAATCGCACGTCTGTAAAATTTTTTCCATTAACTCTTATGCATACTCTTCCCAATCTAGGGTGATGAAAACTTCCAGTTAGCATGCGCTGAATAGCATTGAAGACATCGTGTTTCCCTGCCTTCTGCCTTTTTTATTGGGATTCTGTCACTTTCCTTGTGAAGAACTATGGTGGCTGTGGATCCACTGTAGATTTCTTCTAGTATGTTTACGTGCGGTTCTTTGATTCCCCGATTTTGCAGTGCCTGCATTACTACGGATGTCTCGACTGAGTCAAATGCCTTATCGTAATCTATGAAGGCTATGTATAAGGTTGGCTGTATTCCGCGCATTTCTCTATTACCTGATGAATGGTATGAATATAGTTTAATGTGAAGTAGCATGTACGAAATTCTGCTTGGTCCTTTGGTTGACTGAACTCTAATGTAGCCTAAATTCTATTAGCTGTTCTTTTTGTAACTAGTTTGTAGAGAATGGACAGTAAGCTAACTGGCCTGTAATTTTTCAAGTCTTTGACGTCTCCTTTCATATGAAGTAAAATTATGTTCGCGTTCTTTCAAGATTCTGGTGCCCTTCCCGTCAAGAGACACTTCGTATATAAGGTGGCTAGTTTGTGTAACACAATCTTTTCGCCAACTTTCAGAAGGTCTGTTGTGATCCTCACCAGCGGCTCCACCTCTTTTCATTTCTTCTAGGGCTTTCCTTACTTCCCCTGCCGTTACTGGTAGAATGTCGAATTCCTGTGGACTATCATTGTTTGTCACCATATTATCCTGGCTGTCTTGGCTTCTGTAAAGCTTTTTGTAGAACTCCGCCACCTCGACAATCCTATCTATATTGGTGAGTACATTGCCTTTCTTGTTCCCTAATGCATAAATACGTTTTTTTCCTATGTACAAGATTGCCTTCGCAGCTTTTAGGCTTCTGTCTCTTTTTACAGTCTGCTCAATTCTCTCAATGTTATACCTTCTGACGTCGCCCCACCGTGATGGTCTAGTGGCTAAGATACTGGCTGCTGACCCACAGGTTGCGGGATTGAATCCCGGCTGCGGCAGCTGCAATATCGATGGAGGCGAAAATGCTGTATGTCCATGTGCTCAGATTTCGGTGTACGTTAAAGAACCCCAGGTGGTCGGAATTTCCGGAGCCCTCCACTACGGCGTCTCTCATAATCATCAAATGGTGATTTTGAGACGTTCAACCTTACAAATCAATTAATCAAATCAACTTCTGACACCGGCCACCTTACGCCTACTGAATAACTTTGAAAGCTCCACTAGCTCTACTTCATCGGGTGCAATTGAGGCTTTCATGGTTTCTCATCTCTTAGTAAGATATTTTGTCTCCTGAGATTGTTTACCAGTGTCTTGTCTAGCGACAGTAACTCTTCTCAAGCCAGCATGGTTTCGCACTTGCTGAAGCACATGTCTAATAGTTCAGAAATCGAAATGCGCTTTGTTGTGCCGAAGAATTCGCAAAATGGGGTTATTTCTAGTAAATCTTAGATGGTTTGCTTTCCCTTTTATCGTACAAAGACGGTTGTATAAGGAGTTTGTTTTTAAGGCAACCAGAGCTTTACGTCGGCTAGTTTGCGCAGCCTGACATAGCATAACGCAGCGTTGAGATGCTTATCTTGAATACACCCTTCTTGTCTTCGCTGTCCGTTGCCCTCGCATAAGCTGCCAGAAGCAAACAAGGATCTTTATGAGGATGCCACTGCCCCCCCCCTTTATGACCTTTTATTGCACACTGCGCATGTCTCAAAACGTGAAACCTACGGGAGGAAGCATTACGTGCAGGTGGGCCTCATTTAACAAGCTCACTTTTTATCCCCTTACGGGGGTTCTGAGAACGTCGTATGTATAGCGTCGTACCTAGTAAAAATGAGTCCTCACGACACGATTGCGCGATGACGTGCGTAAAGGAGAAAAATGTGACGCGCTCATGTTTTACGGTGAAGGAAAACATCTATAATTACAGATACGCCAATACGGTTCAGTGGAGTTTAGTGTTACGCCATGTCCAGGGGCGTTTTGGAATACCCACTCATAGGGTTTCCGATAACAAGACATTTTGAGAAGTAAAGGTTCCGCAGCGAAGCGTGGTGGCAACTTTTTGTGAAAGGTGCACCAAGCTTTTGGGCAAAGTGTTTATTAGTCATGTGCTGCGGCACAGCACCTCATAAAGCGCAATTTCGAAGCCTGTAAGACTCTGCGGGTTGTATGTGCTAACACAGTGAATGGTGCTCACCTGGTGCACCATTTCATGATCTTGCTTGCGTCAAAGATGACGTAGACGAACAGAAAGAAGCTGTTCCAGACACCGACGCAGGCGTACATGGCGGTGAAGTCGAAACCATAGTCCTCACTTATGTCGTAGATGACTGCGGTAGAAAATGTCGACTGTGCAAGAATGAACGGCTTCGTAATAATGTTGTGTATTAGCACATTACCGCAAAAAGACAACAGAAACATTGAATAAACAGGGTGCGCATGTGAAGGTTCTTGAAAAATGACATGGAAGCCCAGCTTTCATGCTCAAGTAAGGGCTCGTACGCTAAGTTTTGAAATATCTTTATATATTTGTTTCATTTTTGTCGAGACCCCTTCCTTGGCATGCACCTAAGTGTCTTAATAAACAAGTACGGAAACTTTCCGTTGGGTCAGCCCCACGGACTACGACGACAGTTTCGTGATTTCCTACAACTATCGTTTCAAAGCTAGAGTCATGTATGTGGCACGTCAGGTCGAAACATTAGACCGATGACTTCAATTTATGTGCACTCAGTTTTAGAAATATAGCTGTGCTTCCTCTGAATTCCGAAGCTATAAGCTGGGTATTCTTACTTGTGTATCGAGTCCTGCATTACGTGGTCTCTTTACTGCGTACCTTTTATGTAGAGGCTCAGTGGCGCTGTTGTCATCAGAATAACGAGTGGCTGGCCACTGAAGAGCGCGAAGCCCAGTCCTCCAATGGTCTGGCTGAGCATGCACTTTTTGACGTCTGCAATGCACATGACCGAGGAAGAGTCGTTACGTAAGCTATTCTTGAGTAGTAATGAGACAGCACCTGGAAGCCTGCTAAGGCACTCTTGCAATCTATCAATTTGCTACCACTGTTCAAAATACATGCAAAAACTGTAAAACAGCTCATCTTCAATCGTATAGACATCTAACGAAAAGGGCATATTAATCGCTACATAGAAAGCTTTTTTTTTTCAAAATGGCATTCAAATGCAGGCTTCTCCAAGACAGTGCTATTTCTATTTCATCCCAAATGTTTTGATATTTAAGGCTACGCTTCTCCCCCATAATGCGCGGGCACAAGTTTTCCTGATGCTCGATTCTTTAATTACGCAGGCCTTGCATTGCTTCCTAGAGCCCCTTTCCCGGGATACCCCGTATACACAGACTGGCTGCGTCCCGGGACGCAGCCAGTCTGTGTATACGTGTTTTCAATGATAATACTTTTGCTGCGATAAGACATGCTACGTGCGCAAAGGCATCGTTTTGAACTTTCAACACCCCATGGAAAGCCATAATGGAAGAAGCTACAATTAATGACACTCAGTCGCTCTCAGGTTAACGGTTCACTACGGAAATCGCACGTATCAAAAGTATAGCCGATACACGTGACTATAGAGCTTCGTTTTGCACTTATCATGCGTAATACGTTCTATGAACGCTCCAGGTGAGGGGTCCTACTTGTTATGGCTATAATTCGCATTGCTTTTCCGTGAGATATTTGTCAAAATTAAGCAGTAAAACTTTGCCCGAATCCCAGTCCTGTCGCATAGAGGCTGTCATTATATAAAGCACCCCCATATTTATGCAAGAAAAAAGTGCCTATAGATTTACGCGCACAAACAAAGAAGAAAGAGCATTACCAAAGCAGGAAATGTCAAGTTTTTTTGCACCCAATACTTATGTACTGCAAATTCACCATGTTGCACAATTTGCAGCTGCGTACACACTAAGTCCTTCCTTCCACAGAATCAACGTTCGCTTACCAATTTTCCCGTGCGTGTTTGTGTCGTTCAGTGCCCCAAATGCTATGGTCGGCAGGAGGCAGCCGAAGTAGAGGAAGAACGTGGTGCATATCGTTTTGTACAGCGTGCGCGGACCAACTATACCTGCACATTGAACACCAGGAAAACCATTGGGATAAGTAGAACTCGCGGTTGGGATAGTTGGTGCACGTCTGGACTTGAACAGTCAACTTCACGCCGAATTACAGAGGAAGAAAAAACATGGACACCATGGGGTGAAAGTGTTGAGGAAAAAGTGTTAAGCTGAATATATCTTACCTAATCTTAGCGTCGAAACAGGGATGCGTTCGACTGTACCACTACGGTGGTTCAGCTCTCATTTAATACCAACTATGGCTAATGCCAAAACGTTTGATGTTTTCAGTGAAGGAATGAAATTAAGACCTCCGGTACGCGTATTCTCCTGAATAACACCATGACAGCACCACAGTAATTGAAACATTCCCACATCAGTGAATGCAGACGTATTGAAGTGAACACCAACCACATTGCTCTATCTCGCCATACACTGAACCATCATACCCAATAAAAAGAAAACTTATATTGACAATCAATCGAGAAAGTGAAACTAAGACATTTAAGCCAGGCACATTCTCCTGAATAACGAGCCTTTCTAGGCCACCCTGCACAGAGGAATGGCAGTAAGGGCTAGGACGGCTCACACAAACAGTATACAGAAAATATTTGCGGCGAAATATAAAGGGTACGAAGCGTACGCTCACGCTAATTCGTAAGCCGTTAGTATTTTTTTTCTCGGGTAGCGGCCTGCAGTAACGTTGCTTACATCTTGCATTGACAAAATATGTTTGGATGTTTCCGTTTTTGGTTTGTTAATGTGCTGTAGCGTCAGTTACTTTCGGTTAAACTGTACAAATTTTTATCGCGGTTTTTTGACGTTTCGTACGCCTCCTGACCATTTCCAAATAGGCGCGGTCTTCGCCAGTCCGTCTTAGAACAGGCTTAGCGTACACTGCGTGGGTCTGTCATCTCGTTCAATTAGCTTGTTTCCTCCATGTTCGGCATTGGTGGGAACGAAGCAAACTATTACGACGCACTACCAAAAGTGTCGCACTTCTGATGTTAGGGGATCATCGAAACACTAAATATATACCATGTCGATCATAGCGTGTCACAGAATTGAAAACTTCGCCAACGAATATTATACTACGTAATGCGAATCCTGAGCGTATCGTCATCATCAGCAGCAGCCTGACTACGTCCACTGCAGGACAAGGGCCTGGGCGCATACTGCTATTTAAATGGTTTGATCTTACGTAAGTTGAGTAAATGTGCATGCGTCAAACCGACGTGACGGCGTGAGTGGGGTTCATAGTAAACTCCGATTTCACGTCGACGCAACGTGGTGAACTTGGCGTCACCGACTTCCGCCGCAACTGGTTCACGCGAACACAGCATCGCACTAAAAAGTGCCCTGAAGAGTCAGCTATACAGTGTTGCACACACACACAAAGGGTCCCTTCGGCCAACGGACGATCTTCTGTCAAGCCTCGTAGGTAAATTCACTTTACCGTTCACGAGAGGAATGCGCTGCGCTGTCACAAGAAACTCGAGCAAACGCATTCCAATCACCAACACTAACAAAACTAAACTATTCAGATTACTTCCAGGTCAACACACAAGAACACTCCAGACATCGCCATAATATGTATATACCACCCCTTGTCCCACGTAACGATTGCTTTAAGTTCAGTTACTTTCCACGTGCTATTGAAGATTGGAATATGCTGCCAGAGTCTATAATTGGTTGTTCCTCGCTTACATCATTTGAACAGAATCTAAAACGTTTATTTTCCGAATAACAGTGACATATGTTTTTTTTTTTTTGGCGTGTGTGTGTACTTTTTGTTGGTTGCATGATTCTGCAGTAGTTGTCTTTCAAATCTTCAGCGCGGTGCAAAAGTGCCGCCTCAAATGCGTCATGTGCTGTTCTGCGCGTATGTATTGCATCGCATGTGTGTTCCATTTATGTATGTTATGTATAACTTCGAGTTGCTGGTCACAATAATACCGAGAAATTATCTCGAGACCTGTACGGTACTTCTTTTTTGCAAATAATTGTTTGTACTTCCACCCTGTAACGGCCCACTTCTGGGCTAACAGTATAAATAAATGAAATGAAATAAAATGAACACAGCATGCCGCTGCCTCTTATGAAGGAAAACTCATTAGAAGAGTCTCTCTTTTGTTCTCTTTCGTCCTCGTTCGGTCGATCCATTACGCCAACAGCGTCGACGCCGCTTAATGCCACTGCGGGCCGATACGAGCTGCGCTCCAAGATTCTTGGAACACTAGATGTCGCTGGAGCAAATGTTTTGGCAAGCAGACGTGTCTTCGAGGCAGCAATCTCTTTTTCCTTTTATTTTTTAAAGCATGTTCCAGTTGAAGCATTGATGAAGACAAGTTCACTTGCCAAAACGCTTGCTCCAGTGACACCCCATGTTCCAAGATTTTTCAGCTATTCAAGATTTCATCCTGGCCAGAATCAAACATTCTTTCATAAATGAAGGATTCTTTAACTACAGTGCGAAACCTGTAAACAGTGGTTTTGAGGTCGAGCGAGCGTTTCAACATGTGGATTTTTCTTCAAAGCTACAACTATTCCAGCCTCGAAGAAGATAAGTCCACTGGTCTAAACGTCGACTGCAGTACACAACACCTGTTTATATCTATATATATATATATATATATATATATATATATTATATATATATATATATATATATATATATATATATATATATATATATATTGATACGCAACCGCCGGCACAGCCTGTCTGGAAGAAAGAGAAAGACGACGTTGGTGGCTGGTTGTTGATGAACTGTCGCCATCTTGTTCGCCGAGCACAGTGCATCGTATTTAATTTATTAAATACGTTACCCGTAACATTATTGGTGGAGGTGGACGACTCCCGTACCTCGATGGAGACGCGCAGCGGTCGCAACACCGGGGACTCTTCGGCTACTTCAACTGCCAGTGCCTCATCCCCACCGGTCTCTCGATCCGAGTCAACAACCTACGTCACCCTGCCACCCCTGCGGGATCCTGGAACTTTCTCCGCTGACGGCACCATCGACGTTGACTCCTGGCTGCACCGGTACGAGCGAGTCAGTGCTACCCACCGCTGGGATCCGACGCTCATGCTGGCCAATGTTGTGTTCTACCTCGACGGCACGCCGCGGACATGGTTCGAAACCAACGAAGCCGAAATCACAAGCTGGGATCTTTTCAAATCGAAGATCCGTGATCTTTTCGGCGATTCATCTGGTCGTCAGCTCGCTGCCAAGAAGACTCTCGCCACTCGCGCCCAGACGTCTACTGAATCGTACGTGTCATACATTCTTGACGTCTTGGCGCTTTGTAGCAAGGTCGATCAGCGCATGTCAGAAGAAGAAAAAGTTAACCATGTCCTCAAAGGGATTGCTGACGATGCCTTCAACCTGCTGGTTTTTAATAACGTCACGACCATCGACACAATCCTGACAGAATGCCGCCGTCTAGAACAGGCTAAAGCCCGCCGCGTCACCCACGGCATCACGCGCCTGCCGAACACAGCGGCTACTTCCTCGTGTGATGACTCCGTCCGCCCAGTTCCCCGATGTGACAACCTCACCCGCATCATTCGTCGTGAGGTCGAGGCAGCCCAACCAGTAGCTACTCCATTTCCAACGCCTGATCCTTCACCGACCACTATCTCACTGATACAAGCCGTCGTTCGTCAAGAATTATCGAACGTCGGCCTACACCCCATTCAACCAGTCTACTCTGCCGAGCCTTTTTATCGTCGTCCATCCGCTCCTCGGTATGGTTCCAACTACTCTCGACAGCGCAATTTGTCCGAATGGCGTACACTGGATGACAAGCCCATATGCTTCAACTGCCGACGTGTTGGTCATATTGCTCGCCACTGCCGCAATCACTGGGCTCCGCCGGCACGCTATGGGCCTCCTACCCAAGCCCCTTCTGACCACCAGTCGTCCTCAACATTTGATTTTGGTTCCCCTATGCCGACCACATCCTCTGATCCTGTCGCACCTCTGACGAGACCTCGCTACGCCCGCTCGCCATCCCCTGCTCGCCGTCAATCTCGTTCGCCCCCACAACGCCGTCCTGCCTCTCCGACCTATTCGCAGCGCCCCCGACCGGAAAACTAGGCAGTGCAGCTTCTGGAGGTGAAGCTGCATTGACGACGACCTCTGCAAGAAATCCTCGTGTGACATTACCGACCACCCGGAATCTGTTGAACGTTACTTTAGACAATGTACCTGTGCGCGCGTTGATCGATACTGGCGCGCATGTGTCCATAATGAGTGCTGCTCTTCGTCGCCGCCTAAAGAAAGTTGTCACACCCGCCTTGAACCGAGCCGTTCGAGTCGCCGACGGGGGAACTGCCGCGATTATCGGCATGTGCTCCGCCCGTGTGACTATCGCCGATAGAAGCACTGCTGTTCTTTTCACCGTTATAGAAAACTGTCTTCATGAAGTAATTCTAGGCATGGATTTTCTCACCGCTCACTCGGCCCTTATAGATTGTTCAGCCGGCTGTCTTGACCTTGAAATGCCTCTACTTTCTGATCAGACCAACCCACCCCAAAGTCGCCTTTGCTGCATTGATTTCGCACGCCTTCCGCCTAACTGTGTCACACATATCGACCTCTTCTCTACACCACCTGTACCTGACGGTGAATACATGGTGGCACCAATTCATGCCGTGATGCTTACGCATAGCGTCGCTGTTCCGCACACCATTTTGACAATCGTTGAAAACCGCACATGCCTTCCTATTGTCAATTTCGCCCTCACAGCCCAAATTCTTCCTCAAGGTATCTCCCTGGCCGAAATTACTGCTCTACAAGACCATACAGTTGAACCCTTCAGAGTGGATGATTGCTGCACCTCAGACAATGAACCAACTCTATCACGTTCATCGGGCGTCGACGTTGACCACATGGTACCATCAGACCTCGCTCCTGATCAAGCGGAAGCCCTTCGTCACGTCCTGGAGTCCTATAGTGACATTTTCGACTTCGCCAGCACGGCTTTAAGCCGAACGAGTGTGGTTA